CTTGGTACCGTTACCTACTACCAACTAAAACGTAAATAGGTAGTAGTGTACGGACGGTTCGGTAGAGGTAGGTAACGTACCACTACGGTCGTCTACTCTTCGTTTGTTATCTCTCTCTCTCTCTCTCTCTCTCTCTCTCTCTCTCTCTCTCTCGTTCTCGTAATTGGATGGTGATGACCCTGATGGACCATTGATTTTAGCATACTTCTCCGCTGCTAATAGTTTATCCTATGGAAAACCAAATTATGCTACAGTTTATCATAACAAATGTTGTTTTGCCCATATTCCTTGTTTGTCAGGTAACAGGTGATACTGGTGGCCCAAGAGTGGGTCCTAATCTAATGGCCCTCTTAGACAAGGCCAGAAAGTACAAGAAGGAGATGGGTGATGAGTTCTTGTCAGTGGAGCATTTAGTATTGGCATTCAATTTTGATAAGAGATTTGGGCAGCAGTTATTCAAGAACCTTCAACTTGGGGAGAAAGAATTGAAAGATGCCATCTCAGCTGTGAGGGGCAATCAGAGAGTAACTGATCAAAGTATGGACCTATTCTGATTTTATCTCTTGCAATCTTTTAATTGTTCTTTCTATGACTCTTAAACAAGGTTTTAAAACTCTACAGAGTCGACTGGGACGAGGCCGAGTACCTCGGACTCCACACCTTTGTGAGCCGAGTCTTGGTAACAAACTCCAACATATAAAAATAAATGAATATTATAAAAATTTATTTTTTTACTTAATCAATGTATAAATATTTTCATATATATTTATTTTTTGGTGATGATTTGTGAGTTTTTCTAATTATATGCTCTATTTTCTATTTTCCCCTTTTTGGAAATTTTTTGAATTGTTTCTAAACAACTTTTTTCCAAATTTTGTATTTTATATATTTTGTCTCTTTTTTTGGGCTTTTAATGCTGTTTATAGCATAGCTTGCTTTTTTAACAATTTTTTTTGTAATTTTTTAGGTACTTAGCTTAGGCAAGGGCCCAATTCTGGGACCGGGCTGAGTTTTTGCACATTGGTTTTATGGATTTCTTATCTCCAAGTTTTTTTTAGTAGGAGTTTCTTATGTACTTTCTTTTACCTTATATGAATATCTCCACATATCCTATATCCAAATATGAATTTAGCATCTAAGAAAAAAGACTTACGAAAATAAGTTGGCATTTAAAATCTTCATCATCATCGTCATCATCCAAGCCTTATCCCAATGATATGGGGTCTGGATTATCGACCATCGATATCAGAAACAATATCTTTAGGTATTTCTAGACCACCAATCTTAACTACTTCCCATTTCAACCCCTATTATTACTAAACTTGCATTCTATATATTCTGTTTTTATTTATTGGAGCTAAAATCTCAGTTTGACTTGGTCTACAAATGTATTGACAGTCTTCAGGCAACTTTACATGAATACTTATGTAGGTTACATTTGCTTTATTGGACATGAGTACTTCTTTGGGGTACCTTTGTTTTATCAGAAGGAGATTTTCATCGAACTATTCGCTTTCCCATGTTTGTGTACGAAAGCAGCTCTATCCAATTTCCAAGAATAGAGCCCCTGAAAGCGCTGAATACAAATTAGTAGTGTTCTGTGGGATATCTTTTCATACTTATATGATATACGAAAAAAATTCCTGTTTGCTGGAAATCTATTTATGTCAAACAGGTTGTATGAAATAAATTTCACAATTAACAAACATGCCGTTGGTTATTAAAAATTTGAAATAGGACTTGTTGGCCACTTGCAGCAAATAGATATGCTTCCCCCCCAACAAAAAAAAAAGAAAAAAGAAAAGAAAAGCCTTTCTGATTGGGTATTAGTTTGGAACCTGTTTCTTCCTAAACCAAACTAATTGAAGTTCAAAAATTATCTTGTGGTCGAGTCTTATCTTGAAGAACCCATCGGGGTCATGTGCCATTTTGGTAGGCCCTACTTTCTCTCCATCATTGTTGATCATTTCATTGGATGTCAAGAACAATTCTTTCCATTGATCAATTGTGATGTTAATTGCATCTGATCTATGCTTTTGATCTTGCTGCAGATCCTGAAGGAAAGTATGAAGCACTTGAGAAGTATGGGAATGATTTGACCGAGCTTGCAAGGCGTGGGAAGCTTGATCCTGTTATAGGTCGTGATGATGAAATTCGACGGTGTATACAGATACTGTGTCGGAGAACAAAAAATAATCCTGTTATTATTGGAGAGCCCGGTGTTGGAAAAACTGCAATTGCTGAAGGGTAGGTGGTTCATGACTTCAAATTTCTTCTCTAGTTATTGCAGTTACAAACAGTAAAAAAATAAACATTGTGGTTATATATCTGAAGGAATTGGCTTTTGTGGTTTATTTTTTTTGGCTATTGACTTTTTTTTCTTTCGGCATGGTCCTCATGGATGTCCTTTTAATAGGGCTATTGTTTGTTTTCTTTTTCCACCAGAGTTATCTTTCCTTTTTCTTGGATAATGCTTAAAATTTTAAATTTCTTTCTCCAGATTAGCTCAACGGATTGTGCGTGGGGATGTTCCTGAGCCTCTCATGAACAGGAAGGTTGGAAGCTTTTCCGAGATGGCATTTTGAATTTGAATCTTATGCCCGTTTGTTTTTTGAAGAAAAGGTTAATTATCCTGCTCTTTTTTTGTCTGAATTTTAGTCCTAGTTGTTTGCAGTAAATTTTCATAACTGATCTGGCGAATTCATTATTGAAAAAGAGTTTGACACACAGAAACGGGTTACCCTCAAAGTGAATAATCATTTGAATATGTCTGAAGTCTTTATGAAAATGCAGATGTTTACTTGAATTTATTTGCCGAATGATTGGGTGGAAAGGAATGCACGTTGCTGGCTAGCAAATCATCTCTCCCTGCTTGTTACTGTTACCCCAAATTAGGAATCCTTCCGTCTTTTTGTGTCTTTGCATGTGTGGCTTTGGCTTTGTTTCAATAAAGGGAGAGCTTCTTGATTGTGAACTTGTAAGAGTGACATGGAATGCATTTGTCAAAGTATACCATACTACATGCGCTGTAGTAGTTTGTACATACCTGTGAAGCCACCATTCTTAGCTCAAGTTGAAGAATGGTTCATATCAACTGCCTGCTGTTGAGAATGGAAACCAAAGACTACATGCAGTATCACACATGTGGTATGGGGTGTGTTGTGGGTTCCATTTTCTCTGATGTTGCTATAAAGGACGTGCACTCAATGTGTTAGATGATAAAAGTGCAACCAACCTGCTTCTTTATCCTGTGTTTACTTGGTTGTATGATATTTGTTGTTCATGCTTGCAGTTGATTTCTCTTGATATGGGCTCTTTACTTGCTGGTGCTAAATTTCGTGGAGATTTTGAGGAAAGGCTTAAAGCTGTTCTAAAAGAAGTCAAGGCATCAAATGGGCAAATAATACTTTTTATTGATGAGATCCATACAGTTGTTGGTGCAGGTGGGTTGCTTGTTTTGCTTTGTTCTTTTGGTTTTGAGCTTCTCATGTTAACATTTTATATATATATATATATATATATATATATATATATATATATATATA